GGGTGTGGGGTTTCTTAGTTGTCCTGAGTGACATTTAAGAATTCTTCAAAAGTAATGAAAATGGCTTTGGATCTTGAAAAACAAGTATCCATAATATGAGGATGCCATTCTGAGTGTAGATTCTCATAAATCAATGACATTAGAAAACATTTGCAGAACAATTTATATGAAAAAATGATATAATTAATACAATTGAGTGAACCCTTGACCTAGAAGAAAGGTTATAAGGGTGGAGAAGAGAAGAAATGCACTAACATGGCGCTGGTGCAAACCCATGAACTCAGATGACTTAAAATCTTTGAAACACACCAAACAAAATATCTTTTTTTAATACTAATGTCTTTGAAAATTAGAATGCAACATGCAGTGGTTATTTGTGAAGTTTTTGAAACCAGAGTTGACTTTACATTTAATTATACAAAAATAGGATAAAGGAATTTTATTTTTAAAAATATATTGTATTTATTTTATAGCGAGGAGGGAGAGGGGTAGAGAGTTAGAAACATCAATCAGCTGCCTCCTGCACACCCCCTAATGGGGATTGAGCCCACAACCAAGGTACAGAATTGGACTGAGGACCCTTTAGTCCTTGGGCCGACACTCTGTCCACTGAGCCAAATGGGTTAGGGCAATATAAAGGAATTTTAGAACTGGAAGATACTATAGACATCATCTAACTCTACTTCCTTATTATATATATGAGGGTTCTGAGGCCAGGGGAATCTTCAGGCACTGTCCAAAGTCAGAAAACATGCAAATACCAGGTTATACTAAGGTCAGAGTGTAAGGATAATACATGCTTTGTTAGTTTTTTTGGTCACTATTAGGGAATAAAATAGGTACAATGTGGTGCTCTCCGTACAAAGTGATATTATGGCCTGAAGATTAAGCAAGTCAATTGCTGGGTGCTTCATAACAACAGTTTTTTATTTTTACTTGGATTTTGGGTAAAAGATGATGATATTCATGCATTTTTAGACAGTTTCATTTTAAGACAGAGTTTTGTAGAACTCCAAGTTAAGTTCTTTCTTTTTCTCTTCTCCTTAACCCCAAGATAATTCATAACTCTCCCCTTTGGAAAAGAGAATCACACAAATGAACCGAACCAAATCAACCAAAACAGCTAATTTCAGTTAACAAAAGTATTAATATATTTCAGATGAATTTTAATTTTATTTTTTTCTTGTGTTCAAGACAATTATTTAATATCAATATTTTCTGCCCTGGCCAGGTGGCTCAGTTGGTTGGAATGTCATCCTGTACACCAAAATGTTTCAGGTTCGATTCCCATTCAGGGTACATACCTGGATTGTGAGTTTGATACCCAGTCGGGGCACATATGGGAGGCAACCAATTGATGTCTCTCTCTCTCTCTAAATCAATAAAAATGTATCTTCAGGTAAGGATTAAAGAAAATCAATGTTTTCTTTTCAGGTCAGCCCCTTTAGATTCTGAAAAAATATATATACTGTATTTCCTGGAGAGAAATATATATTATTGCTTTATGCTATTCATTTTAGAGCAAATCAGGTAGACTTGGGGAAAAGCAGAGGGCAGAGGACTATGTTTTACTGTGGTGATCATTCATGCTAAGTTTATATGTATAGTAAGTTGCACCACACACAAAATTTAGAAAGACAGCAATTTCTGAAAAATTTAGAAAGACAGCAATTTCTTAAAGGATTCTCAACATGAGTAAAGTCTAAAAATGTTGATATGAATACTATTCTCCTTAAGCATAATCACATTTTTGTTCTATCCCAGGAAGGCCGATTACAGATGTGTTCTAAGAGTGCATTTTCTTTCCAGTAGGGGAATACTTGAAACAGAAGCATGTATGAGAATCACGCCTTATTGGTTTTGGTTCTTTTTAAAGCAAATGCTAGGAATGGAGGAGGCGAGTGAGCCATCCTTGTCTCCCCCCGCCCCCCCCCCCCACTTTAGGTCATTAAAATTAGAGAGGTTTAGTAAATGATGATTAAGTTTTTCAGTGTTACATGCCTTAGTGTCTTTTTCTGATCGACTACTACAGGAAATGAAGACTCCTGCAAAAATACAAAAAAAAAAAAATGGCATTCCACTGCTGTTTTATATCCTAGGCCAAGTGTTTCATAGGATCCCTAAGAGTTGAATGTCTGGGCAGAAAATCTCAGGTCATTACCTTAAAAAGCTCTTTGGCAGACCAGTTCCCATTACCAGGTGCCTGTGGTGCTTTTCTTAAATAATCAGTCCCATTCAGACAGAGATTTGAAGGTCCTTGATCATCTTTCTATTTCACAGGCAGTCATTTTTTAAGGCTCAATGGCACTAAAGGCAGAATGTTTTTGAAGTCAGGTTTAGAAAAGAACTTGGTATATCCCAAAGCTGGCCCGATTCTTTCTCATTTTCCCCAAAGGTCAGATGCAAGTTCAGTTCTGAGAGCATTGTACTTGGGCATCTGGGTGGAGGCAGGTGACATCGACTCCAGCCCCACACTCCAGCCTGGGAGGCCCTGGCAGCTGGAACAATGGCGGTCAATTTTAGGATGGCCCCCTAAATCCTAGAGGGTGGACTCAGATAAAGCTTGCCTTGCCCCACTTTGACCCTTCAGCCTCAGCTATGAGCCCTGAGGCATTCATTTTTCTTCTCTAAACTTTTGTTGTTGATACTCACCTGAAGATATTTTTCCATTGATTTTTAGAGAGAGTGGAAGGGAGAGGGAGAGACAGAGAGAAACATCAATGTGAGAGAGACAACATGGATTGGTTGCCTCCTGCACGCAAGCCGACCGGGGTCAGGGAACCTGCAACCAAGGTATGGTGCCCTTGACCGGAATCAAACACAGGACCCTTCAGCCCTTGGGCCCACGCTCTATCCACTGAGCCAAACTGGCTAGGGTTCTTCTCTACATTTTTTAAGAGCGTGAAAAACCTGGTAAGTGAAGATAGCCAACATAGCATTGCAGGTATGCTATATATAAGTGTATTTTTTAAAAAACATTTTATTGATTTTTTACAGAGAGGAAGAGAGAGGGATAGAGAGTTAGAAACATCGATGAGAGAGAAACATCGATCAGCTGCCTCCTGCACACCTCCTACTGGGAATGTGCCCGAAACTAAGGTACATGCCCTTGACCAGAAACGAACCTGGGACCTTTCAGTCCACAGGCCTACGCTCTATCCACTGAGCCAAACCGGTTAGGGCTGTAAGTGTATGCTTTTAAAGTGCCATTTCCAGAGTCCCAATTAGAAAGTGTGCTTCACTGCCTTACTCTTCATAGGCCCCAATGAATTCCAAGAGGTCATGGCGGCAGCAGCAGCAGCAGCTACAACTTTGAGATTAGAAGAGCTTGCTCTTTAAAGAGCTATTTTTAGCTGGAAGGGAGACAGTAGGCCTCAAAGTACCTGGCAGGTATGTCCTACAAGGGAATCTAAATTGGAGGTGTGATTCCAGGGGAAGGTCTCAGTGGGGCTTCTCTGTTTGCTGTAGAAAAGGGTGGTTCAGCTGATTTTACTGCTGTGTTGGGGGTGGGGGTGGGGTTACTAGGGTTCCCCAGGAGAACTCAACCTGTGGTCCCCAGGACCTCTAGTGTAGGGCATACATTGTGCCTGGGCACCCCCCCCTCCCCCCAATGATGAAACCACAGAGCCTGAGGTGTCCAACAGCCACGTGGGAGGAAAGGACTTCCTAAACTCATTAAAAAGCATGGTTCTATTTTGATGCCACCAACCTGGGATCCTGTGATCAATTTCAATCCAACTCTACAGATGAGTACCAAATTGTCACCCTGCAACGTGCATCATTCCAGGCCGGGCCCTGGAGAAGAGCGGCCTTAGAGAAGTCACGGGCAAGGTGGAGGGGAGAAAAATGCCCTCAGCCCAGCTGGGACTTGTGGACGGAGTCAGAGCCCGAGAAGGAGGCGCTGGCCGCCGCCAGCACCCACCAGCAGGGCCTGGTCCTGGATCTAAGCAGATCAGGGTGAAGTTGCGCGCTGGAGAGGGCGAAGGGGATTAGAAGGAGATAAGGTTTGAGACGGAAGAGACCCCTATACGGAGATGGAGAGAGTTAGCAATCCTGAGAGGGGCACACACAGGTAGAAAGACCCCGAGGACAGTCTCGGAACCCAAGAAAGACAGAGAAAACAGATGGAAAATATACTGAGAGATAGAAACAGCAAGGGGAGAGATTGAGAAAGACAGAGTCAGAGCAAAGAGACCAAGACTGGGAGACCCTGGTTGAATAGGAGGTGTCAAGAGAGAGGGAGGTGGCCAAATATTCCCCTGTGTCCCCCGCCCACGCCCTGGTCCTCCCTCCCCCCCCCCCCGCCCGGCCCGCCCTACTCCCCACCCCTCCTCGCGCTCGGCCCAGCCCGCAGAGAGGAGTCAGCGCACAAGGTCGCCCAGTCCTCCGGCTGCCGCGCTGAATGGCTGGCGGTCCGCAGCGCCTCCGCTTGGGGCCCCGCAGCCACAGGTCCGCGGCGCCCAGCTTCAGTGCCGGAGGCCAGCAGGGGAGCCCTGCACTGTCCGGCGCCCATTCCTGCCTGACGCACGGCCGGGATCCGCTCCCCGCCACTCCCCTGGCGGTCGCGGTGCTGCTCACGCCCCCGGTCCCCCGGGGAGGGGGCGCTGTGGCTGCCAGAGACGGCACAGAAGCCCGTTCTCCCTGCGGGCTGGGCCCGCGGAGAGCCTGAGAGCGGCATCTATTTACACGAAGTACCAATTAGTCTCGGAGGCATCCTTTACCCACTTGCCAATGTAATTGCCCGGAACGGGGAGTAGGCGCGTGGGACCGCGGACCTACGAAGAACGCTCCACCGGGTCTCCGCCCCGAACCCCAGCGCACACCAGAGCGTCTGTGCCTCCGTGGCTGGGCAGGACCGCGGAGAGCGCCTGCGACTCTGATCCGGACTGGCTCCCGGGCTTCCCGGGGCGCGGGTGCGGGTACAGGTCCTGCTGCTCCGCGCCGGGAGCCGCCAGGCGCTCGCCACCCTACCCCTCTTTCAGAAATTCGGACTGCTTGTCAAGGCCAGTATCTTATCTCTCAAGTTCAAGTTCCGAGGACTTGCCCTAAGTCATTTTTACCATCCTTAGCAGCCGCGGGAAGCTGGGATCCTGGGGCTGCTGGTCCCAGAGCCAGCGCTGCCAGTCCCACTCTGTCTGTCCGTCCGTCCGGCGCGCAGTATCCTGGCGCAGTCACCTCTCTCCCTTCCTCTGCCTCCCTCCCTTCCTCTCTTTCCTGCTCTACTTCCCCCTTCCCCTCTTGCCTCTTAAGTTTCCTGCACCGTGAATCCAACTGTGCCAAGCCTAGGCTCCCGCGGAACCAGTCCTGAGCCTGGCCGGGACCCTGGGACGCCATCTCCGCGGAGGCTGGACGCGGCAGCGGACCGGTCCGCGCCCGGGCATGGAGACCAAGCGCCAGGGAGGGCATGTCCGGGGCGCCGGAGACGCCAGGCCCGAGTAGCTCCTCCATGGAGTCTGCCCAGAGCGGCCCCTGCTCACCGGATTCGCCCCCAGTCCTGTGCGGTACGTACCTTACGGTTGGGGTGGGGTGGGGCACTGGGAAGGGGCGGCGGGGAGGGTCACTGGTTGGGGGACCGAGTGCGCTAGGTGGGTGACCCTCATAAACCCCACAGACGTGCACTCCAGAAGTTAGCACTGACTGTGCCTCTTGGCTGGAATAAAAGTAGTGCTAGAGGGGTGTGTGTGTGTGTGTGTGTGTGTGTATTTATGTAGGTACAGGGAGCTCGAATGGGTAAACTGAGCCTGGCTTTCCTGTTTGCACATTTGACACCCCCTTTCCCCACCCCCACCCCACCGAATGCCTGGAGATACCCAGCACCTAATCCTGGTCAGCTCTGCCCACCCTTCCTCTTCCCGCGCCCCTCTCCTTCAGTTCAGTCTCTCTCCCTTGCTCTCCCTCTTCCTTTCTCTCCATCTCTCTCCACGGGTGTGTACGTGTGTGAGCGCTGCCAGGGCTGGCAAAGAACCAGCCGCGTTTAGTCCCAGCCGCCCCACCATCAAAGACGAGGGCAGATCTTGCTGCCAGAGCCGCTCGGGCTCCGAACCAGCCTGTGCGCGGCTCTGCGCTCTGCCACCTTCCTCTCCACAGCCCAGAACGCGCACCCCAGGAGCGCCGGGCTCCAGGAGCCCCTCAGCTTCCCGACCTCCTGCCCGCTGGCCTGCGGACCTAGCGCTCGCTGCTTCCAGGCGCTGGACTGACGCGCTCTTCGATTTTTCCTGCCCCCGCCCCCGGGTTTCTTGGTTCACTCCTCCCCGCCACAACCCCCTTTCCCGGCTCGGTCGCCAAGCTTAACCTTGCCCGCGTGGTCATGGGCTGTCTAATTTCATTTGTATCTAGGCTGCTGAGAGCGCTCCTTGCTCTGTGAAGTGGATGTCAGGTGGATCTATGTTTTTGAAGGAACAAAGACTCAGCGAAGGCAACGTGGAGGAAGTTTGAGACGCGGGAGGATGCAGGCTGCGTGCTGGTACGTGCTTCTCCTCCTGCAGCCCACCATCTACTTGGTAAGTCCTGGCCGCTCCTGTGCCCCCGCAATCCCACCCTGGCCTCGAGGCCGGGCAATTGGGGGCGCGCGGGACGGAGGGTGAGACCGCCCGTTCAGCGAGAGCGGCATTCCTGGTGACTGTGTGGGAACAACTTTGGCAAGCTGGTCTCCGTGTCCCTGCGGGATTTTCCGGGAACCCCATCCCCATGTCCTGCTCCAGTCCCCCTCTCCTGTGTGGGATTCTGAACTGCACCTAGGGCGCACTAGACACCCTGAGACCCAGGAGATAATGAGACGGGATGCTTTGTGACAGGAGGAGGCAAAGAGAAGGGATGGAAGACAGGGACTCTCATGGATGTATCCACAGAGTTTAAAGGGAAGGAAATAAAGTGGAGAGCGGGGAACACGAATCTGCTCTGTGGCTTTGAAAGTGAATCCACCCTCGTAGCCGCCCCCCTCTAGTTGGAGATGTGCACATGAGAAGTGCAGGTAACTTTGTTGGACTTGTAGGGTTGAGACAGGGCAAGCTGATCAGTTAGGAACATCACAAGTGAGCAGATAGTTAGGTCAGAGATGCTCTGGCAAACATGGAGCAGCTCTCTTTTCTTCTTTTCCAATCTCTCCTTTTCACCAAATAACCAAACCAGAACCGCACATCCAGTGCCCAGACCCTTATTAGGGAAGTCAGGGAGAGAATTCTAGCAAAGCCGCTGTCCCAGTCTTCCCAGAGCCATTTTAGGGGGTCTGGACTTTGCACACTGTTGTACCTGGGAGAGTGGGGGAATGGCAAGAAGTGCTTTATTGTGGCGGTAGTGGGCTGGTAGCTGTGGGCAGCGCGCGGAACAGAGACACAGAGGGCAATGTCTCGGAGGGCCAGGCGCACTCACCCTGCTGGTGAAGTTGTGCTGAGTACGCTAATCCCCCTTTCCCCATCTGTGTGCCTCCAGAGCTAACTGAGGGCTCAGTGTGTTCTCATAGGGGTAAGGATCGTGGGGCGGTCTGGGATCTCTGATGGGCTGGATACATGGGATGGGGGAATGCTCTTCCTTAATCCCACGAGTTTCAAATCTGGGAGCCAAAGAGTTGCCATCGTTGCCCCGATGCACGTGACAGTAGGGCTGCTAGTTGTGTGAACTCTGTGTAAATGAGTGTGTAAGTATACGTGCGTGAATATGTATGTGAGGGTGTGTATATTTAAGGGGTAGTCAGCTTCAATCTCAGAACTCTCAATGTTGCCTGTCTTGGCACTTTTTTCTCCTGACGGTGGCAGCCGCGGACGCCAGAGGGCGCTGCGCGTCAGTGTCCTCGCCTACAGGACACCTTGAGGTAAACAGGTGAAAGCCTGGGCAGCCAATCCAAGAGAACAGCCTTTCTGACTGTCGCCGAAGTCTGTGCCTTCCCTGGCTGCAACGCAGACGAAATGCAAAAAGTGTCCTTCCCACTTCCCATTTTCAATCGTTCTTGCCCCGACCTGTGTCCAGTAAACCCGCTGACATTGAGAGCCCAGAGGGGAGGGCAGAAAGTTTGGTCAGAGGAAATACAGAAACTATTTATTGAAAGGAAGGGAAGGGGCTGCAAAGTGAAAGCTACAGAGGGGAAATATGAAGCATTCCCTCGATCACCGAACCCCTCCTGCCTCTCTCCTCTGCATAACTCTACGTATGACCTGAACCTCAGGACTGTCCTTACCCTTGGACTGTGCTTTTATACACACACACGGCAAAGGCTGGTGGCTGTGGCTCAGTATATTGCTCGGAGCAAGTATTTCGATATTCTGGAAAATAATCTATCAAAAGCAGAAGTGAAATCAATACATTGTGTTAAATTTTAAATGTGTTTGTTGGCAGTTAAACCGTTTCCCACTCATTACAGCAACAGTGCTGGATTTATTCTAATGCGCCGCGTTCTCAACAACAAGCGCATTAATTCTCCTTTAATTGTAAACTGGGAGCATTTGAAAACCGTTCAGTGTGCAAATTATGCTGATTCAATTACCGTTTAGTTACAGACTTCATTACCTGAATGCCTTTTGGCAATACAGAGAAAGGAGACAGTTTTTCCAGTTTCACTCAAAACAATACCAAATGTGAACAATAAAATAGAGAAGGCGATTTACAAGCCCATTCTTCTCTCTCCGATCTAAAGTTGTTTTGTGTGCCGGGGATTGGAATCCACATGCGCCACAAAAACAAAAGGCTGGTGGTTGTGATCCAAGGTAGTATTTCCCGGGATTGTCATTCCAGGTTTATTTGCCAGCAGAATCCTGGGCTGTTTTCTTGGAGGAGCAGGAAGCTGACTTTTACCAGGGAAATGAATTTTAAAGGATGAATTGGGCAGTCAGGAGAGTTTGGTTTTAGGCAACTAAGGAAGTGAAGAGCCTTAATTAAAGCTCTAGGGCAATGTGACAGACCAAGAATTGGCCAGAGCTTCTTTCCCCACTTATTTTACTAAACACCAGAAACAGTAACTGAACTTAGCATTTATGGGTGGCTGTACTCCGGAACATCCAGACCTTTGCAAGCAACTGCAATAGATGCATGCAGGTTGTCAGAAGCTAATTCAAGTTATGTTCCAAAAAGGTAGTTATTTTATTTTGTGTCCCCCCACCCCCTGTCCTTGAATTGAAATAAGCCAGGGAGGAGTTTAAGGAGTAAATTTATGTCTTTACAAGCTCACATCACAACTTTGGTGACAGGGATACTCTATTTATGCATTGCCTCCTAGCTGATACCCCAGTACACCTTTTTCTTTAAGCTCTTGGAATCAGAAAATACTCCTAAATTTGGGAGGAACTTAATATGAAAAACAACTGTATTCAGCAGATCAGTGCTCCATGTTTAAGGCACAGTTGTTTGCCTGTGTGTGGGTGAATGTTCTCAAGGTATGTTTCTTGGCCCAGGGTTCTTTGAGTGCCTGTTCTAAGTTGAGGATTTTGTGTCTTTTTGTGCTTATTGAGAGATTGGTCTGTCCTATTTCAAATTAGAAGCTTATTTTAGTACTACAGTGGGGAGTTAATTAGAACGGTGTCTGCAAAGTTACCCACTAAAGCATATTCGAATTTTAAAAAATTACCACAAGGCTAACTCCAATAATAAATGCTGGGAAGTGGGAAGTTATTTTTTTTAAAAAATAAAGTGAAGGAAGTCTTCTGTTTATTGAATGCTGTGTTTTGCAGATTTAAAAGTCTGAGTTCAGCAGGAGAGACACCTATGGCATAAAAATACTTCTTAAAAATAAAAAAAAAAGTCCTGCAATTTTTATTCTCCTGTCAGTCCTGGACTAATTCCAGAATATCTCAATGGGGTGGCAGGACTGGAGCATTTTCACTGAATTGAAGTGCACCCTGGGTAAACTAGGGAACTGTGGTTTCTGGCTCTGAGGACTGGGTGTCCTAAATTGAGTTATTCCCAGTGGGTCAAGCTGCAGGATAGACCAGGGCACATAGGGAGAGCACCTCCCAGCAGAAAGCAGAGATGCTCTGTTTGGGGGCTCACTTGTGGCAATTTTCAGGGTCAAGAATTAATTCTAATGAGTGCTCCCTGGGCATGTCAACAAAAAAGTTACTCAGAAATTGAGTCCAGAGAATCTGAACAGGGTTTGAATGATTGGACTGTGATCAGTCACCTCCACAGTGAGGAGATGCGAGGAGATGCTGACCCTCCAACTTAGGCCCCACTAGCCAGTTCTGTTAGGAATTAAAATGGATAATCATCTGGTTGTTGTTTTTAACCAATGTGGGCAAGAATGGATACTTCTTTCTAACCCTTGGGCTTAAAAAAACATTTTGAATAATCTATTCCCTCAAATTTAGGAATTTAGGGTGTCCTTAAAATGTGAATTACACACCAATTGTTTAATAGAGATTAAACAGCGATTGGTAATTTCATGGAATGGTAACTCTGTACTGTTTGAAGCCAGACCCTTCCGTGAATTCACTCTTTATGAAGGTGGCTATTAAGAAATGTGGAAGCTGGGGGAAGGGGTGTGTGTGTGTGGGGGGGGGGGGAGCAGCAGGAGAGAGACGACTAATGCCTTTCCTCTGATTAGGTATTTGTACTTCCCATCCTTTGAAAATTAAGCCAACTGCCCACTGAAAACTTGAATCAATTTGAGCTTATACCTGATAACACCTTAACTAGCTGAGGCTATTCAGTGTTCTCTAGTAAGGCCAGTTGTTGGAAGCCATACTGGAAGTCACACCACTGCATTTCCTGAAACTTCTACCCCATATCAGCCCTGTGACTATAGGATTACACCTAGATTTTAGAAGGAGCCTGTGCTCCAGCAGCACATGATATTTCCTCAGTCCAGGGTTCTGTGGGAGAAGTTGCATTTTCCTGAAATGCTCAACTCTCCATTGACCAGGAAAGCAGCTCCCTGGGTAGGTGGGAAGCCCTGGGGTGGCTCACCCTTTTGCCTCACTTCCAGGAGGATTATCATGGTCTGGGGCCTTCTAGTGATAGCTTCAGGGGGACTGCCTTTGGTATTAGAAGGATTGAACCAGAATTGCTCCAACTTTCTCAGCCCATATTTTCCCAGAAAGCCATTAACTTCCCGGCTCCTCTTTGTGCGAAGTTGATTTCTATTTGGCTTTGAATTGTCGACTGGCGATCTCTTCCTTAATGAAAGTGTTGTCTGGGCGAAAAATATATCGGGCGGCAGGGAAATTGGTTTATTATTTTGAGGAAGGTGCCCAATGTCCTACTTTTCTAGCTGCAGGAAGATTTTCTGCAGACTACAGAAATTGACAGCATTGTCCAGGTAATAACCGTCGTCGACAATGTTTTCAAAAGGACGTTTGAGTGATGAAAGCATTTGGATATTGCTCTTTCAAGTGAGCAATTTTCTGTCTTGGGGTTCTCTGATGTTATAGGGGGCAGGGAGAAGGGGCCCACACATTGCCAAGGAGATGGCTTCACTGCTTTGCCCAGACCCAAAATGAGGAAGTGTTGTCAGCTCTGCTTGGAAACCTGAGGTCTGAAGAGCCCTCAGTTTGTTTGGCTGTCGCAACTTTGATGT